GTAAATGGAATTGTTTTCTTAATTTTATTTTCAGATCATTCATTGATAATGTATAAAAATACAATTAATTTTTGTATATTGATCTTTTATCTTGCAACATTGCTGTGGTCATTTATTATTTCTAATAGAGTTTTGGTGGAATCCTTAGGCTTTTCTAGACACAAGCTACTGTAACCTGCATATTGTCTTCCTTTCTAGTTTGGATGCCTTTTATTTATTTCTCTTGCCAATTGCCTTGGCTAGAACTTCCAGTACAATATTGAATAAAAGTGGTGAAAGCAATGTTGAGATTAAACAACATGCTAAGAAATCAAAAGAGAAATAAAAAAATACCTTCAAATAAGTGAAAATGGAAATACAACATACCAAAACTTATGGGATGCAGCAAAAGCAGTTCTAAGAGGGACGTTCATAGTGATAAATACCTACATCAAGAAACAAGAAAAATCTCAAATAAACAACATAACTTTACACCTCAAGGAACTAGAAAAAGAAAAGTAAACAAAGCCCAAAGTTAGTAGAAGGAAGGAAATAACAAAGATCAGAGCAGAAATAAATGGAAGGGAGACTAAAAAGACATTTGAAAAGATCAATGAAATTAAGAGCTGGTACTTTGAAAAGATAAACAAAATAGACAAATCTTTAGCTAGACTTACCAAGAAAAAAAGACAGTAGACTCAGAAATAAATCAGAAATGAGAAAGGAGGGGCCAGTCCCATGGCTGAGTGGCTAAATTTGCATGCTCCACTTTGGTGGCCCAGGGTTTTGCCAGTTCAGATCCTGGGTGTGGACACGGCACTGCTTATCAAGCCATGCTGAGGCAGCATCCCACATAGCACAACCAGAAGGACCTACAAGTAGAATATACAACTATGTCCTGGGGGGCTTTGGAGGGAAGAAGAAGAAGAAGAAGAAAAAAAAGAAATGAAAAAGAAAATGTTACAACTGTACCACAGAAATACAAAGTATCAAAAGAGACTAATATGAACACTTATATGCCAACAAATTGGACAATGCAGAAGAAATGGGTAAATTCCTAGAAACATGCAACATACCAAGACTGAATCATGAAGAAAATGAAACTCTGAACAGACCAATTGCTAGTAAGGAGATTGAATCAGCCATCAAAAATCTCCCAAGAAACAAAAGTCCAGATCCAGATGGCTCCCTTTTTAAAGTGGCTTCAATATTTAAAGAATAATTAATCTGCCATTTAAATGGCTTCAACATTGAAAGAAGAATTAACACCAGTGCTTCTCAAACTCTTCCAAAAAGAGAAGAGGAGGGAACACTTCCAAAATCATTTTACGAGGCCAGCATTACCCTGATACCAAAAACAGACAAGGATACCACAAGAAAAGAAAATTACAGGCCAATATCCCTGATGAACATAGATGCAAAAATCCTCGAAATATTATCAAACTAAATTCAACAATACGTTAAAAGGATCATATACCATGATCAAGTGGGATTTATTCCAGGGATGCAGGGGTGGTTCAACATCTGCAAATCATCCCCAATGTAACACATACATTAACAAAATAAAGGATGAAAATTATATGATCATCTCAATAGATGTACAAAAATCATTTGACCAAATTTAGCATCCATTTATAATAAAAACTCTCAACAAAGTAGGTATAAAGTGAATGTACCTCAACATAATAACATCATATTCAGTGGTAAAAAGCTGAAAGCTTTTCCTCTAAGATCAGGAACAAGACAAGGATGCCCACTCTCCATCACTTTTATTTAACATAATATTGGAAGTCCTAGCCAGAGCAATTAGGAAAGAAAATAAAATAAAAGGCATCCAAATCAGAAAGGAAGAAGCAAAACTGGCGCTATTTGCAGATGACATGATATTATATATAGAAACCCTAAAGACTCCACCAAAAAACTGTTAGAACTAGTAAATGAATTCAGTAAAGTTGCAGAATACAAAATCAATACACAAAAATCTGTTGCATTTCTATACACTAATAATGAACTGTCAGAAAGAGAAATTAAGAAAACAATCCCATTTACAACTGCATCATAAAGAATAAAATACCTAGGAATAAATTTAAACAAAAGGTGAAAGACCTGTACATTGAAAGCTATAGGACATTGATGAAAGAAATTGAAGAAGACACAAACAAATGGAAAGATATTCTGTGCCCGTGGATTGGAAAAATTAATATTGTTAAAATGTCCATACTACCCAAAGCAATCTACAGATCCAATGCAATCCCTATCAAAATTCCAATGGAAGGTGTTCTGAGATGCTTTCCTTAATAATTCTTACCCTAAAAGGATAGAGACTCTTTCTATGGGCTCCCATACCACCTCAGGGTTACTTCCATCATGGTGTAGTATAACTATCTGTTTACCTGTCCATCCTGTCCACCTCTTTGTCCAAACTGTGAGATCCTTGAGTTGGGATCTCTTTGGTCTGTATCTCTGATGCCTAACAGAGTGGCTGACCAACATATCCAATACACACACACATATTTTTTCAATGAATGAATGGTTACTCAGCCCACACTTGTACAGGGAAAGCTATAGGAAACACAGTAGTGTTATCTGGGAGTACTCTGCAAAAATGTTAGATTTTTCATGGAGTGGAGCACAGTAATACAGGAGATTCTGATTGCTAACCACGGTTTTGACCTGGAGGCCCGTAAAAGGAAAGTACTTCAAAGTGTATTCTGCTTTACTAGATTGGATGGAAGTTTCTCTGAAATAGCTTTTCTCAAATACATGTTTTTCCTTTTAATTCTGTATTTGGATTACTACCTCTAATTTCTCTGGGTATCACATCATCCCTGGAAATATGTTGCTTCTTCAAAATTATTCAAACTACTTGGGGTACTCCTATATATTAACCTTTATATTTCTCTTCATCTTTTTCAAGTAGCCTGTGATTCTCTGGCTGATACTGTCTTCAATACCGTATGGACGTTGGGCTGCCGGCCCTTTATGAATAGTCAACGAGCAGCCTGCATCTGTGCAGAAGAAGAGAAAGAAGAGTTATGAGGAAGAGGTAATTCCTTCCTGGTTTTGAGTGACACCACAGCTGTCAGTCTTGGAGATGGTAGTATGGCAGATGTGTCTCATACTTTCTTTCAAAAGTTTGAACACCACAAAGCAGGAGAAAGGAAACATTATTCTACAGCTGAAAAGCGAGTCCCATCCTTTGAGGAGAATTGGAAAAAAGCATGGAATGATTTGAAGACTACTCGTCATGTTAACACTGGTCGCCTCAACCAAGATATATTTGCCTGGAAATTCAGTTCTTAGTTTAAAGAGTAAAATACTGGGATTCCTGGCCTTTGATAATTATATTCATGGGTGAATATAATTCCCTACTATTTGAGAGGCAATGACTTGCCTCTGGTCCATGTTTCAGTTGCCAGTAAGCATCTCACATCTAATAAAGTGCACTTTTTAGAAAATTTGAAAAGGGATAAATGAATTCCATTATCACCAATATGCTTCCATTTCACTTAGAAAAGAACAGAACCCAACCTGGTAAGTTCCACCAATGATAACAATTATTCCCACTGGTACTAAAGAGATAAAAACAGGTGAACAAGGTCGGAGGTTTACCTGATAAGGCCAGTGGAGGTGGAGGTCGAATGGAGCAGGTCTCTGAGGTCCCGTTTTCCTCCCTCCGTGAACTATTCATGTTGACATTCCCAAGTCCTCAGCTGTGTTAGAGTCATGTTAAGATCTGGGAAGCACTTGGTAAAAGCTGCCACTGACAATAGCTAGGTAACGTCCCTGAAATCTGACAGGTATGAGAGACAAAGGGCCATTCCTTAAACTGTGGTTCTTCACCCTGACTGTGGATTCGAATAACCTGAGGAGCACTACAAACACAAAGAATCTCTGGGTGCGGTGCCTGCATGCTGATATTTTCTAAACGCTCCCCTAGTGATTCTGATGCACTGTGAGGGCTGAGGGCCAATAAGGTCAGGGACTGGCAAACGAAGGCCCATGGACCAAATTAGGCCCAACACCTGTTTTTATAAAGTTCTATTGGAACATAGCTATGCTCACTTTTGTTTATGGCTGTTCCTGTGCTTACAACAGCAGGGTTGAATAGTTTTGACAAAGACCGTATGGCCCAGAAAGCCTAAAATAGTTACCATGTGGCCCTTTACAGAAAAAGTTGGCCAACTCCTGATCTAGATAATTTTCTCCTTTCCCTTCCTTTTGCTAATTTCACTGGTTCCATTAAGAGTTGTTGATTGTAGCCATTTCTAAAAAGAAAAAGGAGAAAAACTGCTTTTTGATCTTGTGTAAAGCCATAAAATCAATTGGCTTACTAAGAAATTGGGTTTAACTGCAGATAAATTTATCTCTGTGGTTTATGATATTTATTTCAATAAAATTTATTAAGCACCTAGAAAATAGAGTATGGTATAATTTTTTACCTTTTTCTATTATCTTATCAGTCTGAGGGCATAGAACGCCAAATAACAGGGCAAATGGTGCCAAATTTTAATTTTGTCTACAGTTCAGTCATTGAACCACTTAAGTGCATGTTAATGAATTTATTAACATTTATTAATTGAAAATATTTCACTTAAGACAATATAAAAACATCAAAAGAAAATATCACGAAAGAGAAAAACCAAAGAGAATTTTTAGTACATACTTAGATTGATAAACTTCCAAATCCTCTATAACTAATCTGTATTCGAATTAAAATTTCAGGGTATAATTATTATTTACATATTTAAGGAATCATTGGGTATTTAAGTCAATTTAAAGCAACTATTTAACTTTTTTAAGTTCTCCATTTGGAATATTATACTCAACTTCCGATTTAGTGGTCCTACCGCACTTAAGTGTTTTATTGCGGGAAAGAAATGGGGGCAATAGACTGAGCAGCTTTCTGGGTGCGCAGCGTGGCTTCCAACTTTAGGAGGATGAAGCCCCACCTGGGTCAGGTTGGTCAGTGAGGTGACCTTTCCTGACTCAGTGAGCTGGAATCAGAGCGACTTGGTTCTGGGAGTTTGTCTAAACCCACAGTATTAAAGAAGCACGGTGTTCTAGGGTGTTGACTGATGTTCTCAGAGGGTGTGGGAAGTTCCAAACAGGCGGGCAGCCCGAAGCCAGGACTCAGATGTTGGGCCATCCTAGTCCTCCCAGTCGATGCTGATTGGGCCACCTGTCAGCATCTGGCTCTGTGGACCAGCTGTGTCCTCTCCTTCCACTGCCTCACGGCGCATTCGCCGGTGGCAGCCCTGGGCACAGCGGGAACGCTCATCCAGCATTCCACAGACAAGGACCCGGCAGTGCAGAAACACTTCCTAGAAAGACCATAATGATAATTAACAAAAACAACGATAACCAATGCCACTTGTGGGGCACTTTCTAGAAGCAAGACACTATGCTAAATGTTTCATATATATATTATCTCATTTCATCTAAACAATAGCCCTTTGAGGTAGATGTTATCATCTCCCTTTTATGGATGAGGAAACTGGGACTTAGAAGGGTAAGGAACTTGCCCAAATTCACTCCTTTACTAATGTGGCAAACGCACTGAGGCCCGTGGGTGATTTAAAACCCCACAGCTATAACTTCCGCCTTCGTGCAGGGACGGGAGAGGCCTTAGTGAAGGCCTCAGCTGCTAACGCTAGCATCCTCAGTCTTCACGTCAAGGTCTAGGAGTAACACTGGCTCCCACGCACTTCTGTGTAAAACAACAAGCTCTTTCTCCAATCTTCTTCCTGTAAGTAACTTCCCAAAGCGTGCTGCCTGGTGAGGAGGGAGGTTAGGATTAGACATCATGTTAGCAATCGTTCTGGAACAGCCATGTAGCTGGAAAGGACGTGAATATGCGTACTTAAATGCAGTATGTAAAAGATTTTTAGTTTCTCAAGCTTCCTTTTGTTTCTTTCAACAACTCTACTGAAACAAAAAACAAAAATACTTCCGCCTTAACATACTATATGTAGCCTCTTATAACCTCTATTCATGTATATACACTTTAAAAAGATGTATCATTCAATTTGCATATAAATTGTTATGGCAACAATTTTTCATATCTTTTTTCTATATTTATCATTTTAATAGCTGCATAATATTGCATTAATTGATATCCTATCTGGGGGCTTTTTTTCACCCCCCCCTTATAAAAATGCTCTATAAACACATCTGACAAATCTCATTTTTGTTTGTTTTTGAGAAGCTGTCGGAATTGGAATTTTTAGATAAAAGAATATGATGATTTTATGGTTATTATTACATATTTTCAGTCAACTTTCTAGAAAGTGTATCAATTTATACTGCCACTCTATATTTCTCCCTATAACCTTGCAAGTGTTGTAACTTTTATGAATTCAATATGTATAAAATAGTGTCTTTTAATTGTTTTAATTGGCATTTTAAGTACTATTTTCACTGAACATTTCACTATTTGGCTTTTCTGTGAATTTTCCTTTGCCATGTGACCACCACACAGGCTTCTTCAACCATGCCTGCCCACAAGGATTTAAAGTTGTGATCATACAGTATTTTCTTTGAACAAGCACAGCTATTTTATTGGAAGGGAGGCAGATAATTGTGACATTCATGAAGGTGTTAAACTTCTAGATGGTCAGTTTTACAGCATTTTTTCATAGAGATAATGCAGATCCTAACTCTGGGTTCATAGAATGTTACAGGTTGGGACATCAAGAAAGAAGGCTAGGCGTGGGGGTGGTTTACAAGCTAAAGGTATTCTGCTCACCTTGTGGTCTTTGCCCACAAACTTGAAGACAGGGACCTGGAAGTGCTTTGCTAGGTGATCCCGTGATGTGTACTGCTTCACTGAGTCATCAGAAACACAGCTGAAGGTAGGAGAGGGTAGCATGTAACTCTTGATTGTTTCAACAGAAGTGAAAAAAGAATCTAGTCCAACATATTTGGTCCAAGGGGAGGCAAACTGGGTGGAGGAGGCTGGGCTGCACTCAAGCTTTTTGAGAATGAAGGAAAAATGAAATTTCCTCCTTGTGAAGACATCTCAGACCCAGCCCTGCTCATTAACGCTGTCTGTCCCATCTATCATTCACTAACTGGGCACAAGGACCTCCTGTTAATGTACTGAAGTATTAGCAACAGCAACAACATTTATTTCAAAGGTAGCTTTTGAAATAAAGATAGCTTTATAAGGCTGTATTTTCATTTGTAATATACCATAGGAATTCTGCATTCACATACTTTATTATTGGTTTGAGATAGCTTTTCTTTAACTAGATTTTCTAAATACTTATTGGACACCTAATCGACACTAGCTCCTGAAGAGTCAAAGGTGAGCAAACCCCAGTTTGTGCATCAAAGAGCTGCATAAACAGCTAAGTTTCTTACAGAATAAATGGTTATATTAGGACAAAGTCATTCACCTCCATTCCTTTTTGCTCTCAGTCAGTACCACCACAGGCAATATTATTATTTTTTAACTGATGGAATGACCGTGAACCTTCATTCCTTCAGGATCGAAACTTCTGGTTGTTGTATTTGATTATGATAATATTTTATTAACCTTTATTACTGCATATGGAAGTACTATGAGGTATGTAAGAAATTCCATTATGTTCCAGCAGTGTACTCTCCAAAGTGTTTTAACTGGTTTAATTCCAAATTGTTTTAATTCCTCTTTTCCCTAATTTAATGCTAAGTTGTAGTTTGATAGGGTTTTGGGGTTTTAGTCTCAGATCTACTGCTCAAAGTGAACCTCCTAGGCTCACCCAGGGTTGGCTGGGGGAAAAGAGTCTTTATTGATTCTCCATTTTGAGGCCAAGGTTTAGTATTGATGAACCTTTTCTCCTTAAAGGCCAAGGATCACACTTGTAGTAGCTTTTCCATTCTGAATTCTAAAAGAACTTTTTTTTATGAATGTATTTTCCTTTTTATGGATAACTAAGAATTCCTACCTACCAGGCCAGGAAAAAAGTGGGGCTCAGATATAAAAGCCTATGGAACTGATATGTGCTCCACATGCTTACAGATCACTTTCTAGTTCATTGCTAATTGCTGTTTGAGTGCAGTTGAAAAATCCAATAAAATTGTTTAAAAATAAGGCATCTTGACTTATATTACTACTACTGCCTTATTCCCCTGGACTGAAGAGACTCGAAACATATAATGTGTTTTCTGTTATTTCTTGTATTTATATACTCATTTTCATTTTCCTGAGGTAAAATTAATTTATACCATCTTCTGATTATGTTCTATAATAAATATTTATTGCACATCTAATCTGTGCAACACACCCTGCTGGCTGCTTCAGAGGATGTAAAGATGAATAATATGGTCCATGACTGCAAGGAGTTTATAGTCCAGTATCTACGACAATCAGAGCAACACGATATTAAAATGGCACTTTTCATCTAAGTGCCTCATCCTTTTCAATTTATATTTACGTAAAAAATGTTATTATTTTTCTTTAAAAGAGAAAATGAAGCAGAAAGAGTTGTTACAGGGTAACATATTACAGAAGAGAACCCAGGATAAATTCTGCCTCTTGATTTGGAGTTAGTGGTGATTAGACAATGCTAGTTTGTTAACTCCAAGTTCATGTGCTAAAAGAAAAGATGGTATAGGAAAATCCAAAATATCTGATTACCCAATATGTTTGTTTTTCTGGAGATTAACTTTAATTCTACTTTGCTCAGGCTTGTATTAAATTATTTTGCATTCTCAGGTCATATGCCAACAAAAACTAGAGGAAGGTGAATCAGAAGTATTAAATATCAGGGGAGAATAGCCTGATTTAAATGTAAGCTGAGGACAACAATCGAACAATTTATAAAAATAAGTAAACTGCATTATGTTTATCTTAGGGCTCTGGACTAGCCCCAAATTACTAATATGACAAATGCTCATTCAAGAATTCATTTGGCAAATATTTAATGCCCCTTCTGGTAGGCTAGGCATTGAGGAAGAAGGAGAAGGAAGGAAGGTTTCTAGTTCAGATCAGAAGGAATCAGGGAGGCTTCATGGAGGAAAGAAACCCTGCTGAATCTTGAAGGACCAGTAAAAATCAGACAGGAAGAAAAGAGGAAGAAGATTTCAGGCAGAGGAAACAGCAGGTGCAGAGTCAGGTGGGGTGCAAGGAGCGATAGAGTTTGGGAATTGCCCACAGTTCCCTTTGGCTGGAGCAGAAACTGGAGAAGGCAGAGGTCAGAGGGTGAGGCACAGTGAGCCAAGCTGAGAGCAGGATTTTATCTTGAGGGCTCATCTCACACGTACCCTTGTGTGTTATCCGTTACTGCACTCGAGATGGAACTATTTGCCTGGGAACAGTGTAAATAGGCCTACACTGAGTGGTTTTGAGTTCCTGCCTCTGCTTTTTAAGCATTTTAATTTCTTCTACAGCATTTTTTTTTTTTTTTTTTTTGCTGTTTTGTATGTGCTAAGGGCTGGAAAATTAAACGGCACAGCTTCTTAGAAAACTATACACTTTAAATATGTGTATTTATTATATGCAATATACTCCAACAAAGGTGTAAAAAGTCATTTAAAGGAACCAAAATTCACTCCCCCACAAAAAGTAGATCCATTCCCTAATCTACTTAGCACTAAGTATGTGACTGAAAAAAAGAATTTTAAAAAATGATGCTTCTACTCCTCATTTTAAAACTTTCTGGAGATCACTTTAAGTTGGCAAGAAAACAAAACGGCTCCAGACCTCTCGGAGACCTATTACTGGCCATCCCAAGCAGCTTAGAATGAGAAGTCTTCTGCATTCTGAAAATAAGCTAAGGAATCTGAGGCTAGAAGTCCTCCTGCTGGTAAACAGTTAAATTCACCAACCAAAGGAAATCAAGAGCTAGCCAAAGGTTTTCAGCTTGTGTATATATATTTTTTCCTCTTGACTGGCTGCCCAGGGGCTCTGGGAAGCTGAGATTTGAGAGTTGGGATTTCGGAGGCTGTGTTCAGAAGCTGTCCTACAGTCCTAGGTGAAAGATAACGAGGGCTGGAATCAAGACAGTAAGAGTGAGACAGAAGGAGGTTGGGATGTTGCTACTTTTAAAAAAGCTTCCAGGTGGTCCTCATGTGCATCAGGGGTTGGAAACCACTGTGCAAGACATCGATAGCTGCAGGTGAAGGCTGCCTGTGGCAAGAGATCCGGGGAGATAAAAGCAAAGTAGAAATTTCAGAGTCTATTAGGCCGATTAGGAAAGGGGATGCACCTGAGGCGCACCTGTGGCACCCTCACTTGTCCATTTCTATTAAGCTGACTCCTGACTCCACCTGAGATATATCCCACCTGACACTGAGAGCAAGGAAGAAACTGATGAGAGACCACAATGAGTTTGCCAGTGTGAGTGTATTACATTTCCTGGGAAGGAAGCAATGGGTGTGACAACTGCTAGGCTTCCAATGACACTGTGAGACACACACAGTTCTCAATCCAAGGATCCTCGGGAAATATGAAATCTCCTTTGTATAAAACAAGCAAACAAAACTAAACTTCACTTGTGCTTTCTTCTTCTAAAACCTACCAAGTACTTCTTCTCTCTCCTTCATTACCAAGCTTAAGAGGGATCTACATATGCTGCTTCCACTTCGTCCTTGTCTTGCACTTCTCAGCGCCACCTGGCACTCACGCTGTCCCTTCTCTCTGAGCAGGTTTATCAATGCTATAGTTTCAACAATAAACAGGGGTGACTCTCTGTCCTTTATCTCTAGTCCTGACCTTGCTCCTGGGTTTAACTGATAAGCATTTGCAAATGTCCACTGAACTTCTCTTCCAATGTATACTGCAGGCATTTACAATTCAATATTATTATTTGAAATTATCATATTCAATATTTTCACCTCAATCTGCTTTTCTACCTACATCCTTTCATCTTGGTTAATGGCATTTAGTCAGTAATCCAAGCCAGAACCCTTGGAATCATGTTTGATTCCCCTCTCCCTCACCAGTTTTTACCTTCAAAACATCAATAAATGGTTTCTGAACTAGTTAAGAGCTCACAAGAGTGCCGTGTCATTTTAGGATATGACTGAGCATGTCTGTGCATTTAGAGGTCGGATGTGAACTGGGGATAATAAACAGTTTAAACAGCATAATTACCCATCCCGGATAAGGTAGTACTTCAGGATCTCATCGATCTTGGATGTGGGAGTAGCAAAGCAGCTCTCCACCAGGCTTTCTAAGCCATTCACGTGCACCAGGGGCTCAATGCCAAAGTAGAGGGAGTCGCGAAGCTTGAGGGTGGGCAGAGCTTCCCGGTAAGGCTCTTCAAACTCATTGTCCTTGAAGATCTCCAGAGTGAACGGGAAGATTCCATGACTGCGGCTCATGATTTCCAATGGAGTGTTTCGAAGGTTGGGAACGTATCCTTCAGAAATGGTGTAGAGGCGCGGAAACTCGCAGGTCACCGGGATCAGCAGTTTGCTGGTTCGGATGATGATGTCCCCGCTGCTTCCTGGGGTCTGCTTGGGTAGACCTGTCACAAGGTTGCTAGCCACGATCTTGTCATTCACCACCTGAGCCAGGCCAGGGCCAGGAGAGGAAAAGGTTTTATGTTTATTTTCTACAGATTTGGTTTACTCCCTTTTGACCACAAGATTCTCCAAACTTCTATTTATTTCAAAATACGTTAGAGATTTGGTTGCTGAAGCCTGAAGGTTTTTTTTTTTTTAACTGTTTCTCCTCTTTTTAGCAAGATGTTCTGTTAAGAGTTTTACATACTATTTCATGGTTAACTCACACATTCCTTCAGAGTATCACTCATAAAACCTGAACTGTGCAGAATCAGCAAATTCAAACTTCTGATATTTTAGAAAAGAACAGCTTCTGTCTATTATATTTTTCTAGACTCCTCCATCTGGTGATCAGGCTGCAGCATGACCTTGGGCTGAACTCATCCACACGCAGAACTTCAGCTGTCACATTTATACAGATGATTTTCAGTTCTTTATCTCCAGCCTTGTCTGCCTTCCTGTGTACCAGAAACTCTGACTCATCATTTCCATTTGATTATCCACAGATACAAGAAACACAATTTGCCTAAGATGGAACCACCTTTTCTCAAATATCTCCCCCATGTCTCATCCAAAGTCTAATTAGCTCTCTGATTTTCTCTTAGTCGGATTCAATAAATATTTGTTGAATCAAATGGTCGCAAGGGCCTCTGCATGGATCTCTTGGATCCAGGTCCTCTTTTTTTCTACCCATCTTGCACTCTTCTGATTTCATTACAACAGTGCCTGCCTAACCCCATTTCTACAGGATAAAGCCCAAACGTCTCACCCTAGCACACAAGGCAGATCTTTGGAAGCACAGTCTCCCCCCATCTACTTTTCCAGTTTCCTTTTCCAACAGGAATTCCTTGCCAGTCAGGCTGTATTGCCCATTCACTCAGCATAAGGCTTAAGTACTCTCATCTCTGAAACGCTCCTTGTTTCCCACCTGAAACGCCCTTTCTTTTCCTCTCTGCCTGTGTAAAGCACACACATGCTTCATCCCAATTCAAGTCCCGCCTTTCTTGACTGCTCCAGTGTTTGTCCCTTTCTGGACTCCTATAGCACCTATCGCCTGTGTCACCGTCTCTTATTTATATTTTGTGTGTGTTGTCATCTCGATACGACTGTGTACGTTCCTAAAAGTCAGGAATCTTGTTTCATATATCCCTCAGACTCCTGGGCCCAGGGCTGTGCACAGATATTTCGGATGAAAGTACAAACCTTTTACCTCCATCTGGTTCAATACTCAAACTCATCTGCTACCTTATAAATGAACCATCATCTACACCAGTTGCTTTCTTCAAGTAAAATAACTGGTCAGAGGGAATGTAGCCAGCCTCGGTACTAGTGCTTATGCACTAAGGAAATTGTCTGCACATATTGGACAGGTGGGACTATTTGAAAACAGAAATAGCAGAATTCTTCTTAAGTCCCTGTCCTCATAGTGCTAGGACCAAGGCAAATGCTCAATAATATATTTGTTAATGAATGGCATATGATTTTTTTGAGCTTCATTCTTTCATGTGGAAATACTTCATCTATGACGCAAGCCACACTGCATACCTCTGTCAACCACCTCCCAAATAACTGGCTTTTGATCATTTCCCAAGTGTCGTCTAGGAAGAACCTACATCGACCACTGTGCCACACGTCTTGAGGGAGAAGAGGATGTTGACATGGGTGCCATTGGACACTCCTCGGCAGGAGGTGTTGGTCAGGAAGAGCTCCAGACCGCCAACCAGGTCCCTGGGGATGCTCACTTCAATGGTGTTCGACTTGCACAACACGGGGACTGCAGCAGAAAGAGCCTACCGTTAGAACAGGGAAACCTGAACTGGGAGAAGGACAAGGAAGGCTTCTAGGAGAAATCATTTCACGCTCACATGATGAGCTTTTTGTTTTATCCTCAAGGAAATCATAAAGCTCATAAGGCTCAAAACAAGTTGGTGTATAAAACCAGGACTCCTGGGGCTGGCCCCGTGGCCGAGTGGTTAAGCTCGCGCGCTCCGCTGCAGGCGGCCCAGTGTTTCGTTGGTTCGAATCCTGGGCGCGGACATGGCACTGCTCATCAAACCACGCTGAGGCAGTGTCCCACACGCCACAACTAGAAGGACCCACAACGAAGAATATACAACTATGTACCGGGGGGCTTTGGGGAGAAAAAGGAAAAAAAATAAAATAAAATCTTTAAAAAAACCCAAAAACCCCCCCAAAAAACCAGGACTCCTAACTCCCACAGTTGTGGTCAAATAACGCTCCTCAAATATATTGTTCCCTGAATGAGGAAATATTGTGTTCAAGTTCCAATTCAACAAACATTTATTTCAGTGTGGCTAGCAAAACTCCATGAACTGAAACACCAAAAGGATTAACTTTTAGCACAAATACAATTTATTGGCAATATAGAAAAGCACTGCTTTGATATAGGCTTAAATTATAAATGGTACTACTTTGACTTTACCATTAATTACTGCCCCATAAAGGGAGGTAATAAAAACAATGTTAGTGCACTTGGGGAAGAGTTCCAAATTATCCTTGCATTGCTCAGTAAACCATAAACTCCGACTATAAATTCCACTTTAATTTAATACAGAAAAGATTGCTTTTCCTTAGCATTCCCATGCCGACTTCTCCAGACTCTACAAATACCCTAAAGGGAACACTTACGGGCATGGTCAGAAAATATGTGAGGATGATATCAATATGTGAGGATGTATTGTAAGAGTGGCATAGTATAAAGAAATCAGAGATAGGTGCCCATTAAATATTTGCTGGATGAATGAACTGATATTCTGGACATACATAAGTAGACTTCTAGAAAATAGTTCTCAGGGGATTGTTGACGCTCATATTGTAAGTGTAGGGAGAAGAATCAGTTCCCTAGGGCTTTCAACTTAGTACCTGTTAGAAAAGAAAAGAACTGCATCAATGTCTTAGACTTCTTGCTGAAAGAGCTGGTATTCTAAAAGATGAGAATCTGACACACTTGGGTGAGGAATGCAGAGAGATTCAAGGGGAGGAAGTCAGAGCAGAGGTTGAGCCCATCTGGGTACTACCTTGGCAAGTGTGGTTATCCTCAGACAGCACTAAGCCCCGGGGGCATTCACACTGATAGGCCTTCTCAGACATAAGGCAAGAATGGCTGCAGCCACCGTTGTTATTGTGGCATCCTTCAATGTCTGCAATAAAAACCAAAAGAAAAGAGAATGCTCTTATAGCCCTCTTCCCCAAGAATTCTGGTTCTTAGGATGGCATTTTGCACCAGGGATTATGCTTGACTCATCACAGTATCAATGGGGCCTAACCCAGTCACTGAGACACCTGGAGAAGCCCACAGAAAAAAAATGTTTATTAAGTGTTTTAGCTACAAAGAGCAAGCTTACAACATCCACAGCTCTAATCACTCAAGCTCGTCATTTTGTAGAATGCCCTTCAACCTGGATTTGCCTGTTTTTCTCATGGTCACGATTTTGGAGAGGAAGACCCAAAAGTCATTTCTTAATTGCCATAACATTTAATCCACCCAATTTGAAATTCTGTAGGGTATTGCTGATGTAAAAGGGACTGACAGAATATAAATTCACCTGGACCAGCTAGGTGGCTCAGAGTTATTGCCAGCTGGTTGGATCATCAGCCCTTCTCTTCAAGTCTCTAGAAATAACAGCACTGGAGATAGGGGTCTTGGGCTGACATCACACTATAAAAATGAGCCTTAGACGACACACTAAAAGAGTCCATTCAACTGAGCTCTTTGTGACATTCCTCTTATGAGGTGGTTTGAAAAGCTTCCTTTTTTAAAGTTTTGCACTTTCAAAAAGCATGCTCAATCAAATGGACAAAAAGGAAAAAATATTCAGTTGAAAACTGAAGAAACTGCCGTTTGATTTCATAGTCAGCAGAAGAAAAATAATGACCTTTGTGGGCTCTGGACATAATCTTTTAGATCAAGGGTCCTGAGACTCTGGCCTGCTGCATGTTGCTGAGGATAACGTTCTATCGGCACACGGTCTCTCCCATTCATTCACCTATCGTCTACGGACGCGTCTCACTACGAGGGCAGAGCTGAGCAGTTTCAACAGATTCGTGTGCTCCACAAAGTCTGAAAAATTTACTGTTTGGCCTATACAGAAAAAGTTTGCTGCCCCCTGTTCTAGGGTAAGATAATAAAAGGAAATGCTTCTAAATCATCTAAGATGCTCAAGGAAAGATACGAGCTGATTTCCAATTGAAGCTGTAACACTCAGTTCAATAATAGTGAAAAGAATAGCTCTTTGGAACGTCAGTAAATTAACTTGGGATGAATCTATTTTTGTGAAACATATAGAGAGAATAAATTTGCAATGAATTAATCTTTAGAAAATTTAAGAGAGATTAGGCTACACCTGTTTATAAATCTGTATAATTAAAAAGGATAAGAGCACTCCTGTGGGCTTTTGAAATAACTGACAATGCTATATAACAGTGTAGACAAAAGCATAAAAATATGCTGTAAGATGTTAAAATCAACATTAATGGAAATTTTTTTCTTAAAAATGATCTTCATTAAGTCATTTAATTTCTCTGGGTCTCAACTTCAATACTTGTAAAACGAAGGTGTTGGACTAAATGTTCATGCACTCAGGATATTTCCAGGTCTAAAACTGCAAAGCACAAAATAAATTAAAATTCTAAACTGGCTTAAGGGATTCAAGTCTCCTACAAGGATAAACCAAAATGTTTAGAATGGATATATCCGGCAAGTGGGATTGTGGGTCATTTTAGTTAACTTTCTTTTACTCCTCTGTATTTTCTTCTATGAACATAACTCTTTCATAATAAAAAAAAAAAGAAAAATTACTTAAAAATTAAAACGAGATTTTTATTAACAAAAAGAAGATACAATTATCTAACAGACTAGCTAAAGAAACAAATATGTTTAGACTATTAATAAAACTTAAGGATTTAAAATACAGATCTTAATTCTAAAGTGTAACTGATATACAAATTTTATCTTCTGCTAAAATACTTTTCAGTTATGATTATTAGGTTTTAAAATTATATGAGGATTAACTGTAATATTCCAATAAAGTGCTCATGAATAATTATAAATATTTCTCATGGAACATTTCATTAATATTCAAATATGCAAAGATTATTGCATAAAATAATTAAGATTTAAGGAGGATTCAGGACATTACCCTTATTCAATAAAATTTAAAGCACATTTAGTCTTGTTATAAAGGGCAGTAGTTTAATATTCTGCCTAATGGTCCCTCAGTTAACAATGCAAACTTTGTTGCATGGAATAAATTGTGGGCACTAGACATAATTTTTCCCTTTGGGGTGGTATTTTATTATTTTGAATATAACTAGAATAAAGTGAGCTCTTCTATTATAGTCTATTGTGCCACAAATTCAATTATCCTCTGGAACAAATCATATGTCCTCTGTGAATAATAATAATTAAGCCATTTATCTCTTTATGTAATCTGCAGAGAGTTATTTTTTGTCCCTCAACTCTCAGTGTCATGAGGTTCAGACTTACTAGAGCAAGGTGATGAAATTTTAGCTGTCATAATTTGCAAGGGCAAATGTGCCTTAGAGAAGGGACGTTAAGTTTTATATACTAATAGTACACAATTTCCATTTCAATTATTTGGCATACATTATGAATTCTTTTTTACTACTTAATCATATGAAATGTATACAGCACTTCTGCTATTAAAAATAGATAATTTTGGGGCTGGCCCTGTGGCCTAATGGTCAAGGTTTTCTGCGCTCCATTTCAGTGGCCCAGGTTCTTGGTTTCGAATCCCAGGCATGGACCTACACCACTCGTCAGCCAAGATGTGGCAGTGACCCACATACAAAATAGAGGAATATTGGCACAGATGTTAGCTCAGGGCTAATCTTCCTCAAGCAGAAAAAAGAGGAAGATTGGCAACAGATGTTAGCTCAGGGAGAATCTTCCTCAGCAAAAAAAAAAAAAAAAAAAAGAAAGAAAGAAAACAAGAAAATTTTACTTAACTCCAAAAAATGTATTAATCTTCAATTAAGCATACAGGGAAAAAATAGGCTTCATGTAAACCAGTTTACTTCCAAGATGCTAAGACTTACTTATGAAACTTGGTTAAAAACACAAACTCTAAGGCCCATCCTGCCTCACTGAATCAGAGCCTCCAGGAGAGAGGCCTATGGAGAGGCCGGTTTAAAAGCACCCTGGTGAGTCTTCTCAGCGGGGAAGCTTGAGAAACACTGCCGTAAACCGTTTGTTATGCCACTTGCCTCCGTTATCTTGCTACTCTAGGTGTGCTCCTTGCACCCACAGCTTAGGTGTCACCTAGAAGTTATTTAGAAATGCAATGTCTTCGCCTGACCCCAGACCTACCGAATCAGAATCTGCATTTTAACAAGATCCCAGGTAATTCGTGGGCACATTAAAGTTTGAGAAACACAGAATACCCTATTTTTATTTCCCCGATTAAAACATGGCTCTCTGCCTCCTGCAAAATGCAACAACTCCCTCCTGTTAAGTCTTAGAGACAAAATCAGTAGTGAATTCTGTCTGCGACATGAACATCCTCGGTGATGGTGGACTCCTTTTGCCATTTCTTTACACAGCCAAATTGTTACTCTCCTCTAATGTTGTGCAGTTTCATGAACATCAAAGAATAAGCCAATGGCTCAGCTTGGGCTCTTCATTTGAATTCCTGCTTACTCATTCTCACCTTCACAAGTCTTGCCATCACTTTTTAGCACACGGCCAGCCCCACACTCACAGCGATAGGAATTTTTGAGGTTTACACAGATCTCACTGCAGCCACCATTGTTTTGCTCACATTCATTTTCATCTGTAGAAGAGAAACCACATTATTACACACTGCTAAGCAACTCCAACTTTTCCCAAGCCCCTTAGCAGAATCTCCACATCTTTTCAGATCCTGTTGATAGATTTTCGACAACCCAACCCCCTCGGTGTGATCCGGTATAACCACTTCTATCAACCTGATCTCCACCAAGTTATTCGTCCATTTGCTCTCTGCCAGAGCGGAAGGCACCAAGTTGCTTGCCAGTTCCCTCCTAAGGGCAAAACCGTGGGGAAATGAAGTTACTTTTGTTACTTGGGTTCACTTATTTGTCTGTATTAGTGAATCTCATTTTCTCCAATGTGTTCCTGAAGATTTCCTAACTAAATACAAACCTATAAATCAAATTGAGTTTTAAATACATTTAAATACATATATTGCAGAAGGAAATATCTGACAAAATGTTTTGTGAGGCAGTCTTTTGTTATAACATGAACAACTGCCCTCAAAATCTATTTTAAATATTAGAATATTCTCACATTGTAGTTAAGCAATGATTGTTAACTTTTTAAGGATCTGATGGGGGCCGGCCCCGTGGCTGAGTGGTTAAGTTTGAGCGTTCCGCTTTGGCGGCCCAGGGTTTTGTTGGTTCGGATGGTTTGGGCGTGGACATGGCACCACTCATCAGGCCATGCTGAGGCGGTGGCCCACATAGCACAAACAGAGGCATTCACAACTAGAATACACAACTATGTACTGGGGAATTTGGGGGGAAAAGAAGAATGTGGCAAAAAAAGAAGATTGGCAACAGTTGTTAGCTCAGGTGTCAAGCTTTAAAAAAAAAAGAATCTGATGAAGGATACAGACTCTTGCTACAAAAATGTGCACAGCTGGCAATAAATGTCGATCTCCTTCTTTTTACAAACAAAGAAAGGGAAGCTTGGGAGCTAAATTTGTCAAGACCTGGATATAGGATATAAGCCAGGGACCGGAGCTTGAAACCCACAGGGTGACAGAAGGCATGACCTTGGGCCCAGGAGAGGAGATAAGCTGGAACTGAAATCTTGCTTAAGTCCAGGACCCCAAAAAAGGTCTCCCAACAATGAAAGGGGGAGTAGCAGAACTTTGCTCCAAGGCCCAGGGAAGCAGTAAGGAAGCTTTCTGTCTGAGGTTCTAGAAGAGAGAAAAACCTTCATAAACAATGGAAACCCCAAGTTGGGCCCTGTCATGGTTGAAGTACGAAGTTATATTTCCTACATAGTGTGGGGATATTGAAGCTGAGAAACTGTTAAATTTGGCCTGGACTGGTAAAGCTTCTGTGAAGCCTGACAGAAGCCTTTGAAAAACTGCTCTGTAGTAAAACTTCCACAAACCAGGTGATGAGTGGAGTCCCATGGAAAAATAATTACAACAGGAGGTGGTTTGCCATAAAACACTACACATGAGGAAGTGATTCACTATGAGAGAGAGCTGGACAAATAATAAACAGAAGGCTTTGAACTGGAGATAACCAAATAATCCAGAAAAATTCATAATACAAGGATTTTAAAAATCACTAAACTGATAAAAGCAAGGATAGTAACCAAAATAAAAGAAGTGTGTAACAAGACAAAACAGAATTGAAAACAAACAAACAAACATGTAGAACTTGTAGAAATGAAAAATGTGGTCTCTGAGATCAGAATCTTCACGGGGCCCCTACTACCTGAAAAATGGATGGTGAGAGGCGTGAGCAACCTTCCTGGATGTGGCCACACTGGTGTTTGGGTCCAGGCCTCTGTTTCAAGCCTGCATTACTTGGCTTGGGACTGATTTTTTTAAAAATTTTAATTGAGTTCATAATAGTTTACATCAATGTGAGATTTCAGTTGCACATTATTTCTCGACTGTCACCACATAGGTGCTCCCCTTCACCAGCTGTGCCCACTCCCCACCACTCTTCCCCTGGTAACCACTGAGCTGTTTTCTTGGGAACTGATTTTTTAATGTAAGGGAGAAATAAACTTCTACTTACTTAAGCCATTGTTATTTGAGGGTTTATTATTATTTACAGCCTAGATACTCTATGCCCCAACAATTCCACTTTTATCGATATACTGTATAGAATGCCTCATGGATGGGGTAAAGTATCATTTTTATGTTAATTTTAAGAACATGCAAAACAACGCTATATATTATTATGGGTACATATATAAATAATAAAATCGTGAAAACAGAGACCAGAAGAACACACACTAACTTCAAAACACTGATTATCCCTAGAGGGTGAGAGAGGAAAGTGAGATGGAGTGAGCTGGCTTTACTTGTATCTGTAAAATTTTATTTCAAAGAAAAGGAAGAATAATTTAACAGAAATATAAAGCAAGTCACATGTGTAATTTTAAATTTTCTAGTAGTCACATAGAAAAATTTGTTAAAAGAAATTGGTAAAATTAATGTTAATAATATATTTATCACTTAATCTAACATGTCCAAAATATTTCATTTCAATGTATAGTCAATAATAAAATGATTGAGGTATTTTTCCTTCTTTTTTTGAACTAGTCTTCAAAATTCAGTATAGCGTATCTCAACTTGGATGCTAAATTTCGTCAGAAATACTTGGTCCATATTTAGAGTCATAAAATTTACAGCTGGTTACTCAAGATGTCCCAAACTTTTCTGGTTTTCCAATGACTGAATCAAGTAGCAGTTTTAAACATAAAATGAAGTAAAATTAAAATTCAGTTTTTCAGTCACAGTAGCCACATTTCAAGAGCTCCATAGCCACACACGGACAGTGGCTACTGTATTGGACAGCATAATTCTAGACTATCCCTACAGATGATATAAATTTGGCTTGTGGCTTTAATTATAAACTATAAAGGCAAACACCATTCCAAGCGTTCAGAAACACAAACTGGAAAATGATGGGCTCTGAGTCAGGAAGAGTTTTTTGATTTGTCCCTTTGATCCTAATAGTCCATTTCTACTTCAAGATTAGTTTCTTACCAAAGCATGTCTGCCTGTCGGGGCCCAGCACGGTTCCTGGAGAGCACGTGCAGTCACTGGGATCCAAGCAGCTGCCATGGCAGTCCTCATCACAGATGTCATAAAAATCTATGGAAGGACAAAGATGACCTTTCATGAGGGGTAAGGGCCAGAGGACATTCCCATTCATGAGAAAGCCTCAAGAGTTCAATCACGGGGTACAAGTTCCTAGCCACCATCAAGAGAATTCTAATTGTTCAGGGTTTACATAACCCAATGGAAAGAGATACTGCCCCGGGACTTCTTCCGTCATTTAGATCAATGATTCCCAACTTCAGATCCACAGGCCCTTGGGTGGCCATAGAGTTTCTGCAAATCTAACGCCTCACCAAACAAGACCTGTAGACTAAATAATTATGTCCTACACTTCTATGGACTCTATTTTTTAAATGTGTACAGATTTTGACGGGATTAATAACACAAAAATTCATTTAAAGGCATTGCTGATCTCATTACTGATCCCTTTATGTATAATTTTAAAAAATCACTGGATACTATTCACAATGCTGCCATATGGATCTCTGATATATATCTTAAAAAAGGGTCCCTTTCTATTCTTCAGGAATTGTTCAGAAATCTAAGAACAGATCTCATAAATCACAGTCTGGAGGTATCTGTGGCCCTAAATCAATGTTATTCAGACTTTGAGATACTACTGTCACCATGATGGAACTTCATAAGGCACTTTTCTCTTTGATGCCATCTGTGGCCTTGTGAAGGAGGAAGGAGAGCACGGGGAGGGTACTCACGACCACAGTAGACATGAAAGCAGACACTGGGCCTGGTCAGACGATACACATAGTAGCCTCCAGGGCAAGCCTTCACCTCCACCGTGGTGTTCCAGAGGCAGCAGTTCCCATTGAAGCTCGCACAGGCCTGGCGTTGCACAATGCCATCACCTTCTAGAGGGTGGCTGCCATTGAGCCAGACAGGTGCATGGGTCCCACAGTGGTTTTCTGGTATGCAGAAGGTGGGCATGGCATCCCCTGCCATGCCAGTGAAGCGGTACCACTCCCCATCCACATGGTTGTCACATAGAGGTGGACCTTGAGACTCATCAAATTGGTGGTCAGTATTCCTCCAGGGCTCATTCAGACTGATGTAAGCAGAACAAGGATCTAGGGCTGGAGATGAAAAGAACACCTCAGAGGCAGCATGTGTTTCAGGTCAAAGTGGCAACAGCCTGAGTCCACCTTCTTGGTCTTGCATTTTGGCTTTTTGGGGTTCAGAAAGAAATAATCTCAAGTCCCAAAAAGTTGCTGTTTAAGGTTGTTCAAGTTGACTTAAACATGTTTCATAAACGCCTTTCACAAAATTATTTCAAATCTATTTCAAGTTTAGTGTTAGCATTGGACTGAACTTTTTATTTGCAGTAATCATTTAATAGAGGGATGATTGTTCAGACCAAGGGAGTTGAGGATTATAGTCTCCTTGAATTCTGCACTTGTGAGACAATATTTTGAATATTGTGTTCACATCTGGAAGCTATATTTTATGAAAGTAATGGACAAACTTGGTATCCAGAGGAAGGTGGCCAGACTGAGAAGGGAGGCTGAAAATTATTTACTGGGGAGGAAGTTGAGAACTATAGGTCAAAGAATATGCATATCAGTTTTCAAAAATCTGAAACAGGTTTGTGGAAGAGGAGGTAGGTATTCTGTTATAACAACAAGAACAATTGTTATGGAAAATCACATTTCAGTTCACCTACTCAGTAATGGAGAGGCTGTATGAGAGTACGGTAAATTCCTCATCTTTGGAAATTTTCAGAAAGTATTTGGATGCAAGATTCCAAATGATGCAAGATTGCTCGTTTGTAAGCAAGACTATGGGTGGAATTTTGCACTAGTGGGAAGTTTGACTTAATAATGTGTAAAGCTCATTCCACTGAAAAGGAAAAGGCCTCTGGTGCATGTCAGCTGCTTTGAAATGTGCTGGCAAGTAGTTATCAAAGATATTCTCAAAGTGAATTTTGGTATATATTCCATCAGCTTATTGAAAATTTCATGAACTTTGTGTATTCACAATTAACCACAGAGTTACTATCTATAATACAGAAACATTTCCCAAGCGCACATTTGCAGCGCATAAATTGCATGAACAAATATCAAAAACATTTTAATGACTAAAGACACCAATATCGCCAATATTCTCACTGCTTCCCTCAATTTCAGGGAATCAGTGAATTAATGTAGGCATCTGCTGTCCTTATGAAAAATCTAGAAAACCAAGAAATTCTAGAAAGGAACACTAGCCAGAGAGTACTATCCTTCTTAATGCAGGTGAGGCTGACTTAACTGACATTGTAGGCAGGGAATTCACATTAAGGTTGATACATTTTGTGGGCAGGAAATTCAATTTTAGCAAATACTGCACAACAATTAAATGTGGATGGGCCATGATCATAAAATCTAGGTTGTCTAGAAAATATTTTGGATTTTCCCAGTCTACATCTGAAACTCAACTTTACTCTCTAAACTTCAGCTGCTTGTAGAGGAGGGTGTAGCCTAGTGCTAATGGCCCCACCCAGAACGTGACAGCTTGGGGCAAGAAACAAGTAGGATATTGCAATTTCTGGAAATCACATATTTGCAGAGTTGCATATGGCAAGAGCAATCCTCTCCTTTAAAAAGTCTCTGAGGTGTCCCAATTGAGCCCTAGAATCTAGTTCGATGTCCCTTGAAGGGAAGAAATGTCCTCATATAGACTCTCTCTCCTCTCAAAAGGGAAAAATTCCCTCATCTTCTCTCCTAGCTGTGGTTCTCTTCTGAAGCAAGGTTTCCAGGGCAATTTCACAGGCGATTATAAATTCATAGAAATATTTGGCTCATCTCTTTGGCTCAAATTTTATAAGCAATGGTTAGGTACTCAACTTTTAATGGCTTTTACAGAAATTCCCAAACCTCCCTCAATAACATGATTTATAAAGTTTCTCCTTAAACTTAATTGTCATTTCCTGTGCTATTTGTTAAAAGCTCACTTTCTCTCTTGTGGTAGGGGATATATGGCACAAACAGGAGAAATTTACCAACAATCTTCTTAAAATAAATAAATAACATATGTTTTTAAAAATTACCCACGCAATATTTTCTAACATTAAATATACCCATTCCACTCCACCCTCTTTTAAGGCAGTAATCCGATCCTTTAATAATCTGGCCACTGGTGTTAATTCCTGTTTTCACTCTCAACATGGAGCCGGGAATTTGGTATTAAGCCTATTGCGTCCTAAACTGCTGACATATATACTCCTCAAAGGGGAGCGCTTCAAAAAGAACAGCCCTGAGGGTTCCTGTCAAAGTTCAAGTCAGGGAGTCCCCAGCTTCCCAGAACGCAACCCTGCCTTTTGCTAGGGCCTGACTGCCGGCGCCCTACCGGTTGCCCCTCCCTGGTGCCCCTAGTCAGGGCGGGCACCTCTCAGCGGCGGAGCGTCCCCGCCCTTTCACCCCGGTGTTTGCAGAACTGCCCTCAACTCGAAGTACCCCAAACTTAGGTGCGCACCCTGGATGCGCCTCTCCTGTGCTTGCCGTCGCCCTACTCTGCGACCGCGCGCTGGGTCCGGAAGCCCCACTCTCCTTTCTTCCTTCTCCCTCCCTCCTTCTCTGTCCCTTCTTACTCTCCCCTAACGCTTCCCGCTTCCCCACCTCCTCTCCCCTTCCTCCTTTCCTTCTCCCTCTTCTTTGCTCTCACTCGTCCCGCCCCCACCCAAATCTCCAGCCCCAAAGTTCTCCCTTTGTCTTCCTTCTGACATTGAGTCAAACGTCTTTAGAAGGGCTGTAAAAAATAAATAAATAAATAAATAAATAAAATCTAAAAGCTCTAGGAGGGAAGAAGGTGTATGATGGAAGGGACAGGAGGTACTAGATGAAGAGATAGCCAGGGAGGAGAGCAGGAAGAAAGGCGAGTGGAAGCTGAGGAGAGGAGGACTTTTGCTAAAGCGACTCTTGGTTAGGTATTGGCAGCAGATAAAGAGTGAGTAATTAAACTCAGCTCAAGCCTATTTGTTTTTAATAGACTATTGTTTAGAAGAGTTTTAGATTTGGAGAACAGCTGAGAAGCTAGTTCAAAGAGTTCCCATATACTCAGCACCCAGTTTCCCATACATTAGTATGGTACCTTTGTCACAATTAACGAACCAGTGCTGATACATTATTATTAACTCAACTCAGTGGTTTAGTCCAATTTCCTTAGTTTTTGCTTATGTCTTTTTCTGTTCCAGGATCACATCCAGGACACTATATTACATTTCATTTTCATGTCTCCTGAGTCTCCAGCCTATTTTTAATGTCTATCCCTAAAGATGCTAGTTACCATGAGAACCCTGAGTTACTCTGAAGGAATAAATCAGGGTCAATTAAACAGTGAGCTATGCAAGAGTGCCAGGAAGGATGGTTCTCTCCATTTCAACCTCCTCTCGCCCTGGCATCCAACTAGAACTTAAATTCTATTTGTTAGTAACTGGAAGTGCAACTTGTCTTTGCCTCGTTGGCCAGTTTTGTGCCAAGCCTGAGGAGGGGGACAGTTTAAGATTCACTCAATCTTTGCAAAAAGTCATATTTTCCGATGTCAAGAATAGGAAGTTTGATTTATCCAGAACTGGGCCTTTCATGGGGACAGAGCATTCAGTCCGTCCCTTGTATTCATTAAAGAAAAAACTCTATCCTCACCTCTAAAAATCATTTTTTTTGCTTTTAAAGTCGCAACTATAAAAGTGCCTAGAATATGAAGAGGTTAGAATTCCTTTTACACATATTCCAAGAAATACTTAGCTCGTGAAAAGCTTGGATATGGCAGATCCATGGAAATTCTGGATGTCCAGACAAGAGACTAAATGGAACATGAAACAAATCCTCTGAAAATATATCTACATAGGTTATCAATGACTTTCCTTACAATATTCTAGAACCAGTATTTGGGATACTGGAATCTGCTCTTAATAATTTGTGCAATAATAGCAAATTCCCACAACAAAAAATGCATTGTGCCAAGTACTTGACACAAGACTCACCCCTTGGTGACACAGGTGTGATTGTGATGAAGAGGCAGGTGAGAAGCAGGAACTGAGGCATCCTTCTGGACCAGCCACCAGAAACAGACTGGAAAATCCTCATAATTCCAGTTTTCTTTTGTCTCCTTTTTTAAGCACTTTCTTTTAGAGGCCTCTGGGCTCTTATGAAGAAAGACTTTTCAGTACTTGTTGGGGCTTTATCAGAGGAAGAGGATGAGTGGGATAAGGTGTCCATTGCTCTGGCCTTGACCCCAGATAGAAGCTTTGCTTTACACTGTGAACAGGGTTATTTTATTGATATTTTTCTTTAGGAAAAAAACCCTTACAATCCCTCATCCTCCTATTGTTTTCACTCCAGAATTCCCTGCAATGAGACCTCCAGTATCTTATCCAGAAGGGAACTTCAAATGAGGGACATCCTCTCACATCAAAATCTTGTTTGGTGACTGCTAGGAATTGAGTTCATGATGTCGCAGCCATAGCATTGCATACTAAATGAGAATGGGATAAAGCCAAATTGTTGGAACTGGTCATTAGGAAATGTCTTGGTTGGAGGGTCAAGAAATTTACAATAGCACACAAAAACGTAGTAAGGACAGGTATGGGAAGGAGACGATATTCTCTTGAAGAAAGCTCTTAAGTCTGTATTATTATGATCTTTGATCTCAAAACTTCCTAAAGAAACAAGGTTTCAGTTGTGTTTTTACCAATGCAAGCAGCACTACCTCATGTTTTCATAGTGCCTTTCTTCCCAAAACTTAAAATGGTTTAGTGTTATTTTACTAATTCTCACACTAAGATAGGGATAGGGGCTTCAACTCATTAAATTAACAACACGCTGAAAAGTAAGTGACCAAGTTTACTGGAGTTTCACTTTTAGACAAAAGAGGGAAAATGTCTGGACGTATATATTAACATGTCACCAGATACAACCTTAGTAATTACAGGTTTGGAATTTGCCAGCTCCCTGAAGTTCTGTGGTGTGTGGACATCTGAGAAGTGGCAAGTACTATTACTGAAGATAAGTGTGAAGGGGAAGGATAAAACGAAGGGTGAGGAAAAGGTTTTTGTTCGTTTAAGTATTATATTCAACATGGATCTGAGTGAAACTAAAATTTTTCTCCCTAATCTTATCTTGACCTGATGCTTTGGGCTTCTGTTATTCCTATACTTTTTCTCATCTATGTTTCTTTTCCTAATAACCAAATTTCTAGTGACTGGGAAAGGAATATTATTGTCTTTAGGAAGTAGTCCCTAAACTTGTCTTCATAATTTCTTAGCACAATTAGTTACTATGCTAAGTGCGTTCAAATTATTATGGCCCCTTTCCTCTAAGGGTTTCAGTTCAGTTAAACAGTAGTGCTTACCAGGGGCCAAGGGCCGTGCTGGTCAATGGTTTTTGACAGTGACTAAGGAAAACGTGGTCCCTGCAAGCACAGAGTTTATAGTCTAGCAAGTGGTTTCCATTGATCTAAACTTGTAGTTAGCTGCTTTATCACTAATGCTAGTGGAACACGAGCAATTTGCTGCAATTATTATTATTAAGCTGCAATTTGATGGCAACAATGGATGACTCTGGGACTGAGGAATTGTCTCATTGCAGGATAATGCTGCTAAGTGTCAGCACTCTTAACAGAAAAAACAAAATCCTGAAATTTCCTGTCCCTATGAAGCCATTTGAGTGCTTCATGTGTGTTGCAGAGAAACAGAGGACGTGTGCATGAGATAAACCCAGATTTGCTGCCAGGATTGATTGTCGGAGTCAAGGACTTTTACCAGATAGCCCTTTGGCTCTGTAAACAAACATTCCCAGGATGGTAGGATTTTTTGTGTGCGTCATTCCTGTTTTTTCCTTTTTGGTTGACCTGCCCTTTCATTTTAACTTTTTATGATGAAAAATATCAAATATATACAAAAGTAGAGAAAACAATAATGAACACCCATCTATGATATTTACTAACATTCTGTCAATCTTGTTTCACTTATACACCAGTATGCATTTCTAACATACGGTCTTCTTTACATAATCATGTAATTATTACATCTATTACAAAAACTAGTAATAATTCCTCAATATCATCTAATACCCATTCCATATTTAAATTTCCCCAATTTTTTAAAAAATTTTTTTCTTGCTGGTTTGAGTCAAGATTCAAACAAGATCCATACATTTGGTTGTGTCTTTTAAGTTACTTTTGATCTGCAATGGTCTCCCCTCCTTTCCCTCTGCCAATGTCATTTATGGAAGAAACCCAGTCATTTGTCTTATGGAATGTCTCTCATCTGGATTTGGCTGACTGCTTCTTTTGGTATCTTTTAGCCTCCCTTCTCCCATATTTAACGCTAACTCTTGTTGATATTTGATTTCCCTAAAGTATGTGTTATTAAATTTAAAAACAAAAATACTCTGGTGCCACTGAAGGAATTTAATGCATAGCGGGTACTGCTAGAAATAGATCAGTTAGGAGATGAATAAACTGGTCTGCTGTTCAGGAGAGATCTGAGCTAGAATAACAATTTGAGAGCTACCAACATATAAATGGTAACTGAAATGGGGAAGTGGATGCGATCATCCATGGTAAATGTGGTCCCAGATAGAATTTTGGGGAAGCCTAACAGCAAAGATGTGGGCAGAGGAAGATGGCACCGCAAAAGAGACAGAGAAGTAGAGATGTGTAGAAGGAAACCCAAGAGTAGACACAGGAGCTGAGGACAGTTTCAAGAAGGAGGGATTACTCAATGGATGATGCATTTATAAAACATACATAAATGAAAACTTATACAGTGGGTCATTTAATATACAGTAGGATTCATTAAAATTAACCTATACATTTATCCAAAGGAAATAATCATGAAGTGCATCTTGAAAGACAAGGAGTTTGGACATTTGCAAGACAGCAATGAACTAAGGGTTGTTGGCAGTGATAAAAATGAATTACAACCCTTAATGTTTGGGTGAAACTGAGTTCCAAAATCTAAGAAGTCCTACTTTTCTGTGAAATATTTCCAGGTAGATTAAAAAAATTCAACCTATTTGTATTTGTTTTTCTAAGTGTCTACTGTGTGCTTATCACTACATCCTGATAAGCAAGACACAATAGTACATGTACACATAGTACACAATAGAACATGCTCTCTGTTCTTTCCATTTACCACATTCACCACACTCGCCAATTCTCCAGTCACTCCATTTGGTTGTTTGATGATTGGAGTCACTGATGAGTGTAGATAGATGCCCTCTCTGTGCCTCAGTTTCCTTCTCTTTAAAGCAATGGTTTGACTAGATCAATAGTTCTCATCAGAATCACCAGGAGGGCTTGTTAAACACAGGTTGCTGGCCCCACTCGTAGTTTCTGATTCAGCAGAGATAAGATAACTTGCATTCTAACAAGGAGATGCCAGGTTGCTGCTCCAGGGACCATGCTGAGAACCTTTTACTTTTTCCAGTTCTAAAAGTCCATGGTCCCTCAGCAAAACTGCATTACCTACACTCACTACTGGGTTGAACACTCTCCATTATCTGTCCCCACTGAAGATTCACTAAAGCCTAACAGAATGTTGTAGAGTATGTAGGTAGTATTTGTTGAATGCAAACAATGGCTCGACATTTTCAGTCGTATCTTTTTACACCCTACACTATATCTCAGGGATGTCTGTGTTAGGTTGCTATAAGCTGCAAGGAGACAGGACCATAGTTATGGAGGCTCTTTGTACATCTCACACTGCATTAAATGCAGTCAGCCATCGAATACATGCTTTTTGATATGCTTTCAGGCAGCACGTGAAATTTTCCTGTCTGGTAATCATTACAAATTTGATACAAACTCTTAAAATAATGAATATGTAATCTTGGTTCATCTTTGAACAACTTTCTGGAGTCCAGGAGACTACACTGGGCAATCTGGTGGCCTGATATAATGGAGATTTTTCTTGTTAATCAGGAGATAAGGATATTAGTCTCAGTGCTGCCACTGGCTTTATTATGATTGTTATCTCTTGACCTCTGGTGGCTCTGGGAAACTAGGAAAATACTGACCATCCTAGGTTTAGGAAGAATTAATGAAATGCCTGTTTTTAAAATATAGGCTCTGGGAACAAAGCTTAATTTCAAAATAGTATTTTTATAAAAATTAATTTTAGAAGGAAAAAGTTCCCACAGGAAAATAGTTTTTTGTTTTTTGTTTTTGCTTTAAAGAATGAGATGCTACGTTTCAAAAACTGAATATTTATTGTTCCAGAAGGTACATTGCTTTTTTTACATATTTCATAAATGATACAGGATTTTACACGTGTTCAATATTTTGCTATTTGTTTAAAGGACTTTTCTCCATATCCTCCCTCCCTTACCTCCCACACACCCCGAAAGGATTTTCTCCTTGCACTGTGCTGTTTCTTCTTAAAAACTCTGTGCATAAACAGGATAAATGGTTTAAAAATAATTCACACAACTTAACAAAAATAAATGAGGGAAGGGGTTGAACAACTTGGGGGGTGGTCAGGGGAAGGAAGTGGGAGGAGGGTTTGGGAAGTGGAGACATGCATCCTTTCATTCCATCATGCCAGTGGAAGGGGTGGTGGCAGGAGCAGCAGCAGCAGCAATTCTGGCTGGCCTTCAACCTCTGCAAGGCACCTGGAGTCTAGGTTTCTCATTTACAGTTTCCTTTTCATACACAAGGATCCCAAGGAGAAAGAAACCCCTTGCCACAATGAGGAGGGATGAATCATGTAAAGAAAAAAGCCAATCAGCTGTGTGGCAAGTCCCATCATCCCTTCCATCCTACCCCCACAGTAGTTAAAAACAGGATATGAGACACAGATTCCTTTGAGTCTTCAAGTGCAGATGTCATCTGGAAATATGGTAGAAAATACTTTGATAGAGTATAAGATTAATTCTTCTTTCTTTCAATTTAAGATAAGAAAAAATAGGGTGAAGAAGGTAGGTTGAAGGAAGCCTAGAAATGTATACCTGTATAAAGGTAAATTGCACCCTTTGAGATCCACACACTTGATTTACAACTGCTGAAGTGGTGGAGGTGGGAGGGCTCACGAAGTGTGGAAGTGTGTGTCCTTTGCGATTAACAAAGCCTCCAGACAAGGCAGAGCCAAAAGGGTGGCCTGGAATGCTGTCACACAAGCATATTAACTGCAATGAAATTATTCTGGTTCTGAAACGGCTAACAGAGCCATGATTTTTAGCCAGTTTGTAAACTTTCTATCTTCCTTATTTGGTAATACAGCTAAACCCTCCCCTCTCTGATTTGAGTTGTGGAGGGAGAGGGGAAAATCAATGGGATAGAGAAATAAATGAGGGAAATTTTGTCTCATCTTAAAGATTAAGTAGTAAGAAACAAAACAAAAAAACATCATGCAGTGTTACCAATGATTCCTAGATAGTGATCCAGTGCACTGGAATATATAGACTTTTAAGAAGGTATTAAGGGATAATTCAAAGTGTCAATTATCAGTCATAAGTTGGTTCCAAATATCATATGGATAAAATTAGTGTAACCAGCAGGTATGGGTGGTCAGAAAAGGGGCAGAAGCGGGAGAGATTCCTGGTAACTTTGCAGAGACTGGGTCCAATTTAAAATAAACGCTAATGACATGGGTTCAGGCTGCATTTGCCAACCACATATCTTAAGGATTTGTTTTTCCGGTATATTTATTTACTTCTATGTCAAAAATAAGAAAGGTTAAATTAAAAAAATTAGAGCTGAGTGGGGTGCTGGTGTGTTACTGTTTTGCCACTCCTGCAAAGATGCAAGAAACAAACACCCCCAGCATCATTTTCCCTTGATGAATCTCTGAATATATAATGCATCACTTTCATCCAGAAACTGAGATGCTTGATTAAGACAATATTCCCTAAGCCCTTTGAGCTTCTATTCCACAGAGCCTGATCCTCAGATTTGAACATTCCTTTCTTCCCTAAGATGCTTTTCATTTTTGTTTTTTAATTAAAGGTAAAAACCCTCTACCCCGACATGGCTCCCAGCTTCCACCTGCAATGCTTTAATTAAAAAGGCAATAGTTATAAACAGGTGTTCTTTCTGCTGGGATTCAGAGGTTCTTTGAAGATCAATCTTTTTCACCAATTTGTCGGAGGGGCAGATGTACTTGTAATGGGTCTCTCAGTCTCTTAAGGTCCATTTCTGCCTAAAATAGAAAAAAAAAAAAAGGTGAGAAAAACTGGCTAGTGAAGCTTTCAGTGATATTACCATCTCCTGAGAAAAGGAAATTGTCTTTCCTCCAGCACTGTGAATCACAGAAAGCATGTCAACTACTCTCAAAATAACAGTGCCAGAGGCAAAGGGCTTTAAAGACAGGATCACAAAGCGGGACAGAAACAGAAGTCTGTTCTGGTGCTTTCGGCTATCAGCAGAGCCTCCAGAAAAGGCTACGCAGTCAACAAGGCAGGACTCAGAGGCTCAGCAACGTGGGAGCACCTGATGCACCTTAATGGCGTTTCTCTAGAGGGAAGCCCTTACACAGACCTTTGCCTGAAGCCAGAACTTTAATTTATGCTGCTTGAGAATTTAGCTATTTGTCCAATAGTTGTTAATTTTTCCACTAGTCAGTGATTTTTAAAACAGGGATGTGCAGCCAAACTGCAGCGCTTTCAGACTCACACGTGCCCAGGCCTCACCCCTGAGAAGTTGGTTTAATAGGCTTAGGGTGGGGCCAAAGCATCAGTATTTTTAATAGCTCTAGAGAGGATATTGATGCATTCCCTCCAGTTGAGAACCACCACACAGAGCAATAAAAGACACGACGAGCCCACTTAGGCCAAGGCAGGAAGATGGCTTAAGCCTATTCAAAGCCCAACCTCATCACCAATAAGGGACAGAGAAGGCAGAAAAGGTCCAGAGGAGAGCAACTAAACATTAAAGAGGAGGGAAGAGCTTCTAGAGATTACTTAAAAATCTCTAAAGTTATAGAAGACTACAGAGAAGAGGAATGAGGAATTATTCACCAAAATTAAAGATATCAAAGTGAGGAGAAGGCACACTCAAAAATTTGAAAGAGGTAACTAGTATGAAAAATAAAGTATATCAATCTTTTAAAAAAGCATCCTCCAGTTCAATAATCTCTGACCTGCGCCTGGCAAAGATTTCCAGTAGTCTTTTTCTCTTACCTGGATTTTATTTTTGCTCCATTGCTACCACACACTTTAGGTGAGAAATCTTTGGATTAATTATTGTAGAAAGATTTTAAAAAGAGAAAAGTAGGAGCCAGCCCGGTGGCGCAGCGGTTAAGTTCGCACGTTCCGCTTCTAGGCAGCCCGGGGTTTGCCGGTTCGGATCCCGGGTGCAGACATGGCACCACTTGGCAAAAGCCATACTGTGGCAGGCATCCCACGTATAAAGTAGAGGAAGATGGGCACAGATGTTAGCTCAGGGCCGGTCTTCCTTGGCAAAAAGAGGAGGAGGATTGGCAGTAGTTAGCTCAGGGCTAATCTTCCTCAAAAAAAAAAAAAAAAAAAAGAGAGAGAAAAGTAAAAATAGATAACTGTGAAGAAACAGAAATGAAAAAAGTAAAGACAAGTCTAAATTTTCAATATGCTAGTCTTAATAGGATATATGGGACCCATCATCTTTTCACCTGTTTGTGCTATAAAACATTCTAGATAGGTGTCCATGCTAAAATAGTACTTTTATCAATTGAGGAATAAATTATATAGGAAGAAGACAGTTGGATCATTCTTTCAGTTTACTCATTGAAGTACTGTGGATAATAATGATGATGATAATAATAATAATAATACAAGATGGGGCTGGAATTTATTTTTATTTTTGGAAAACTTGCCTGAGCAATTGCATCCTTGAGTTGATTGTATTTCTCTAGGTCAAAACGTGACTTTTTGGCTCCTTTATGAAAAAATAATAAGTATTGTCTGTCTCTGGCTTCTGGATAAACATATTCCTACAAAAATAAAGGAAAAATTAAAGTATTAGTCCGTAGCCTACTACCTTCCCAAAATAAGCATTTACTGTTGATTAGATTTAATACACATACACACATATAGGATATGTACTGACTTGTGCTGTTAAATGTTTATTTCTTAAACATTTTTGATTGTGAAACACACAGAATACACAAAACTGTACATCACAATGAATCATTACATAATGAATATGTTAATCATCACTAGGTAAAGAAAACAGAACCCTGCCAACAACCCAGAAGCCTCCTCCTGCCCTTCCCAATTACTAACCCTTCTTTTCCCCCCTAGAGTGATCACTGTGTTTGATGGTAATTGTTTTCTTGCTTTCTTTACAACTTTCTTACTTAAGCATGCATCCCCCTGAGCCCTACAGCTCAGTTTTACCTGTTTTTTGAATTATAAAAATGAGTCAGATAGTGTACATTGCGTATGGATACTTTCAGTCAATATTCTCTTTGTGATAGTCATCTTTTGTGTGTAGCTGTAGTCTATCTTCATTGCTATATTACATTCTACTGTATGACTACATCACAATTTACTTATCTATTGTACTACTGACAGACTTTTGGGTTGTTTCCAGGTTTTGGCTATTATGACTAAGACTGTCAAGAATATTTCTGGACTTATCCCTTCTGTTGGGTATATACCTAATGAGCGGAAATCCTAGATCATAGGGTGTGCCTGTGTTCAAATTTAAGAAGTGATATCAAAGAGCTTTCCAAAATGGTTGTATCAATTATACTCCCATCAGCAGGATATGAAAGTTGCCATCACTCCGTATCCTTGTCAACACTTGATATTGCCAGTTAAAAAAATATCAGCTATTCTGGTGTGCATGCAGAAGTACTACATCATATTTTAAAAACAGCCTTCCTGAGATGTAACTCACTACCATACAACTCACTCATTTAAAGTATATCAGTCAATGGTTTTCAGTATAGTCACAGAGTTGTGCAATCATTACTACAATAAATTTTAGAACATTTTCATCATCCCCAAAAGAAGCCCTATGCCCTTCAACTGTCACTTCCCATCTCCTTCAACACCTCCAGTTCAAAGAACCACTGGTCTATTTTCTGTCTTTATAAATTTGCCTATTCTGGACATTTCATATAAGTGGAATCATATAACATGTAGACTTTTGTGTCTGGTTTCTTTCAAGGTTCATCTATTTGTAGGATGTATC